TATTTCTTATACCTGCAAACACCAAGAGTGCACGATAACTAAATCAGGCCTTATTAGAGGAATACTTACTACACGACATAAAAATAAAAAGTAACTTAAAAATGTGCTTTAGAATAAACATGAGGAGTGTTGGCCAGTACCTGATCCCACAGGCGTTACAGAGCGGCGTCCCGTCTTCAGCGTCTCTCCAGAGAGGAGTCTTCCTCGTGCAGCACGACGCACAGATCTTACTCCCTGAGGAACACACATTTCAGAACAAGGACTGCTTTCATTATAACCAATGTGAGGAACTGAAGACAACGTGGACTAAGAAACACTAAAGGGATAGTCATTTCTTCTGAGGGAACGCTTGCTTAGGGCCCCTAAAACGCTACACACGCCTCTGGGGACAGTTCACTCAAAAATCAAAAATAAATCTCTCATAATTTACTCACCCTCAAGCGTGAGTAACCCACAACTCTAGGAGTTTCTTTCTTTTGTTAAACATTAAAGAAGATATTTAGATAGCCAAAGGTTTGACGGCACCCATTGACTTCCATAGTATGAAGAAGAAAAAAAAAGGTCACTTGCTACAGTCAACTATTTGGTTACCAACATTCTTCAAATTATCTTTTTTTTTCCTGTCAAACAGAAGAAAGAAATTCGTGCCTGTTTAGATACCGGGTCGTGAATTACAGAAAACTAAATTGTAAATGTTTACATAATCAAAACTGTGTCCCAAGAACATGGCGGCATAAATGCCATTCATGAGTGAGTTGACTACAATATCTATAAATAAAGGGTTTAGGATTCTATCATAAATGCAAAGTGGGGGATTTTTGCTTTTATGTCAAAATCAAATCTACATCCCTGAGAATCATTCATATCTGGAGCACAAACACTGCGCTTACACTCAACTTTAACACTTAGAGATCAGAGTGAGCACCAGTGCCAGTGATGAGGGAGTTCACCAGCACTAACTAGTGTGTGTGTGTGTGTGTGAGAGAGAGAGTGAGAGTGAGAGTGAGCGTGTGTGAGTGAGTGTGTGTGTGTGAGTGAGTGAGTCTCTCTCTGCGAGTGTGTGTGTGTGTGTGAGAGAGAGAGTGAGAGTGAGAGTGAGAGAGAGTGAGAGTGAGAGTGAGCGTGTGTGAGTGAGTGTGTGTGTGTGTGAGTGAGTGAGTGTGCCTGTGAGATTGAGTGTCTGCGTGTCAGTGTGTGTGCGCGTGTGTGAGAGAGAGTGATGAGCGCCCTCTGGTGCTTGTGTCCAGTACTGACGGGACAGACCGCAGGAGTCGCTCTCCTCCTCGGAGCTGATGGTCCTCTGAGTCCGGCACCGGCTGCTCCTGCTTCTCCTCAAGCGCCGGATCTCCTCACTGAGCAGAGGAGGACACAACATCAATCTGACTTTGCAGAAATACACCACACTCTTTCCCTCTGAGGTTCTGGAGACGAGCAGCTCCACCTGTAGTTGGAGGTGATGATCAGTCTGCTCTGATCCGCGTCCAGCTGCGGGTACATGCTGAAGGTCACGCCCTGCACGCCGGGGTCCTGCGGGTCGGGGCTGCGGCCGGGACGAGGCTGCTTCCTCTGCGTCCGTCTGCCGGCATCCCACGAACACGTCTGCCGACCCTGGAGCTCCTTATGCACACTCTCTATGAGATTATTGTTGAGGTCGGCCAGCTGTGAGGAACGCTGTGTGTTTTCAGTGGCGTTCAGAGGGAGCCACTCACTCTCAGCGTCTCGCTCAGACACCAGACAGGAAGTGAAGTCAAGAGGACAGTCATTTCCTGTGGATGGGACAACAGATTCGTCCCGATCAGAACGGCCCTCGATGTGCAGCACAGACATTTTTTCTGTCTTCTCACTGGCGCTGATGTGATCCGCTGTGTGTGTCTTTATGAGCTCAGCGAGATCATCGGGATCTTTGATTTCCTCCTCATCTGTGAGCTCGATGACGGAGAAACATGCATCAGCCGGGGCGCTGCTGCAGTTAACAGTGGGACTCTCGGGCTCAAACGGAGGTCTGGATGTCACCACGGTCTCCGTGACGTCTGATGGGTCGAGATCGACCGGACCTCGGTCCTCACAGCCGGACTGCAGCAGCTGCTCGCACTGCTGGTTGATCAGACGCATCACCTCCCATGCGCTGCTGCTGTGCTCAGACTCGTGCATTACAGAGAAAGAGCCGCTGAACTCCGAGTCTTCACGGCCGGAGAGGACGAGTGACCCGGCGTCTTGATTCTCAACATGCGACGGTCCAGAACTCCAGCTCTTGTCGTCCATTGGCGGAGCGAGTTTTGTGGCCTCCTGAAGCAAGAGGAGGATGGTGGACTGGGTCACATGCTGGTGCTGCACATCTTCTGGAGAACACGCATGAGAGCTCATGTTCCCTCATCGGTTTACTGAAACAGAGAGGAACATAAACGGAGACACTCTGAAGCCATTCAAATACAACAGATTTAAACACCCAGGCCGTTCACACAACCTGTCAGAAGTTTGGGGTCAGTAAGATGCTTTAGGCCTGGTTTCACAGACAGGGCTTAGACTAAACCAGTATTAGGCCATAGCTCAATTAATACATTTAAGTAATTTTTATAAACATGCCTTAGAAAAAACATTCCTGCTGTGCATCTTGAGACAAAACAAGGGCTCTGACATATTTTAAGGTCAATCAGTGCAAGTTTCTTTCAGTTGAAACAGCTCAGATTTACATTTTAATCTGGGACTAGGCTTAAGCCTCGTCTGTGAAACCGGGGGTTAATGTTTCTGAAAGAAGTCTCTTCTGCTCACCACAGCTGCATTTACTTGATCAAAAATACAGTACAAACAGTGAAATATTATTAGAACGTAAAACAGCTGTTTTCTGTGTGAATCTCTGTTAAACTGTAATGTATTTCTGTGATGTGCAGCTGTATTTTCAGCATCATTCCTCCAGTCTTCAGTGTCACATGATCTTCAGAAATCAGTATAATATGCTGATCTGCTGCTCGAGAAACATTTCTGATTATCATCAATGCTGAAAACAGTTGTGCTGCTGAATATTTTTGTGGAAACTGTGATACATTTTATTTTTCAGGATTCACAGATGAACAGAAAGTTCAAAAGAACCGCATTTATTTGAAATAGAAATCTTTGGTAACATTAGAAATGTCTTTACCGTCGAAAAATGTAATGCGTCCTTGCTGAATAAAACAAGTCGTTTCTTAAAAACATAAATGTTTACTGACTCCAGTCTTTTACGCAGTTATACACAGTATCTGCACTTTTCCAGAGTGATGTATTCGAGAGTTACACATCTGTTCACTGCAGTAAAGATCACTGTGAAAACTGAAGACGCATCTCATTATCATAAAGACCAAACACAATGGCATCAAGAGGACAGACAGAATTATTATTATTAATGTGTTTGGGATATGACAATACAAATCTTGTAGTGGCAGTCCTGAATAACGTTTACCTCAGAACTGACGGAAAATAAGCTGACAGAAAGAAAATAAAGTTGAGAGTGATACATCTACTTGGCAGTAGCTCATAGCTGAAGAATATTTCAAACGCAGCTCATGCACGTCATAATAACTCACAATGTAACAGATCGACGAGCTTCCTCTCAGCAGTCGCTACAAAGTAACGGTCAACCTCCCGCGCGCGGCACGCGCTCCACGGCATCAGCACACCCCAGAGTTTGAGTTTGAGTTTGAGTTTGAGTGATCATGAACAGATGTAAATAAACTCACCGCCGAGATCCTTTCCCATGTGAAGCGCCTGTCACGTGACGTGATGAGCAGGTGTTCCGGAGCTCACCTGAAGCTCAGATTCTCCAAAACTAAACGAGTGAAGTGGATAATAGGCTCATTTATTGTAAAGAATTAATGCTCAACTCCAAACACATGGATTATGACACGTGACTGTTTATTTTAGACATCAGAATCAAACATGACATTTTTAATACTGTACACACCTTCAACAGATTTGTGGTTTCTACATATTTCTGAATAATTGGAGTAGAGACAGGAGAAATGTGTGTGTGTTAGTAATGAATGAGCTGCAGTGACTGTGTCTCACTGTAAAACACAGGAATGCCTGGAGAGCCAACATCTGCTGGATCAGGGACGGATGGAAGAACAGAGCCATCATACATCAGAGCAGATGTGTAGCGTTATCTTTCTGCCGTGTCCATAACTCTCAACACCTTAACATTAATAAAAGCCGGAAATTATTTGAGAAGTGGAATGTTTCTGTCCAGCTCATACTTCACCACAAACACAACAAAGCAATAATAAGTGTATGAAGAAAACCAAGCCCGTTTATGCATCACAGCAGTATTCGTTGCACATTCTTTCATTTTGGCTTCCATCAGTAACATATTGTATTCCAGTAATGTTTGCTGCAGTACAGCAAGTCATCGAGGAGGAGGATAATGTGAATTATAAAACTATGAACGAAACAACATCTGCATTACGGAAACAATAAGCAAATGTGCCTAACTGTCATAAAAACAATGATGCAGAAAATCTTTTTATTCATACAAAGAAAAGAAACGGAGAGAAAGAGTTCTCGGATTTTGATGTTTTCAGGACATTTAAAGGGATAGTTCACCCAAAAATGAAAGTTCTGTCATTAATCACTCGCCCTCATCGTTAAAACAGTCCATGTGACGTCAGTGGCTCAACCGTAATGTGATGAAGCTACGAGAATCCTTCTGTGCACAAAGAAAATAAATATAATGACTTTATTCACTGATTTCTTCTCGTGTGTCAGTCATGACAGTACCGTGACACATGCGTGTGATGCGGCTGCCGCAGGAGCCGGTGTTCTGACGTAGAACACGCATGTGCTGCGGCTTGTTTATGAGCAGAGGAAAGCACACGCATGTGTCGTGATACTCTCGTGAACGCACGGCGCAGACTGACACGCAAGAGAAGAAATCAGTGAATTTTTATTTTCTTTGTGCACAGAAGGATTCTCGTAGCTTCATCACATTACGGTTGAGCCACTGACGTCACATGGACTGTTTTAACGAT